CTGCTGAACCGGTTTTGATAAAAACTTAATCAGGTTTTAATTACATAATTTTGCATCGAAAGAAACCAGTCCAATATCGATATCATTATTTGAAAATTTATCATGTACGTACAAGATGTATAGAACTACGCTATATGTTTGTAGCACTAATGGGTCGGCTCGACCAGAGAGGGACCACGCTCTCACAGACAGAATAACAGCTTAATACTGCTATGCTTCGTATGGTGAGTGTACACAACCAGAGACCCTTATTACTGGAATTAAGAAATCCATCTTAGTCCTTAAGGGTGATAACGTATTAGCATTTTGATCCTTAATTGAAGATAGATGTAGATGTATATAGACCACAGCATCCACTTACCAGCAGGTGGAGCGTGTGCTCGTTTGTTAACTATAACCTACCAGGGTGATCCAAAAGTAATGATAATCGGTTACTTTAGGTCCGCATAAAAATCCAAAAAAAAATATTTTTTGCTTGCCTATATACTCACTACGTCAGCCTAAAAAAAATCATATAAATAGATCACGATTTCCGGGAGATACATTCATTTGAATACCAACTGTCAAAGAGATAACATCAACTTGGAGAAAAACGAAATTAGAGCTGTCATCAAGTACCTCTCTTTGAAAAAAATGTCTTCAAAATACATGCGACATATACAGTGACTAAGTGGAAACATTGGGGGACTCTGCTCCTCCATATTCTACAGTTGCACGCTGGGCTAAGGAGTTTAAACTGGGCAGAACATCCACTGAAGATGAACATCGCGAAGGACGCCCATCCACGTCCCTCACTGAAGACAACGTGAAAAAAGTCGAAGATGTTGTGTTGGCAGATCGAAAAGTGACCATCAGGCATGTAGCTGAGGTCACAGGGATCTCATATGGCAGCGTTCAAAGAATCCTTGCGAACGAGTTGCATATGAAAAGGTCTCTGCGCGTTAAGTACCCAGAATGTCAACCGACGAGCAAAAGAAAAATCGAGTTGACATTTCGAGGGTCAATTTCGAAAAGTTCCAAGCAGATCAAGAAAATTTTTTGTTCCGTTTTGTGACTATGGACGAGACCTGGATCCACCATTTTGATCCTGAAACGAAACAACAATCGATGACTTGGAAGCAAGCCTCCTCACCGACGCCAAAGAAATTCAAAGTTTCATGTTCGGCGGGAAAGGTTATGGCATCTGTTTTTTGAGACGCTCAAGGCATAATTATGGTGGAATATTTGGAAAAGGGAGCCACTATTACGGGCTCTTACTACGCAGACCAAATAAGAAGACTACGTGAGGCCATTAAGGAAAAAAGACGCGTCAAACTGCGAGCTGGAGTGCTGTTTCACCAAGACAACGCACCGGCTCACAAAGCCGCAGTTACGATGGCTGCCATTCAAGAAACGGGATTCGAACTGCTCGAACACCCTCCTTATTCGCCAGATCTAGCTCCTAGTGATTTCTACGTCTTTCCTCCGCTCAAAGAACGCCTCCGAGGCAAGAAATTCGAAGACGATAGCGAAGTAATGGCCGCTGTTAAAGCGTTTTGTGAGGGTCAAGACAAAGAATTTTTTTCAAAGGGAATCCTGGGTTTAGAAAAAAGATGGACTAAATGTATTGATTTGTCAGGAGACTATGTAGAAAAATAAATTATTATTTTAACTTTAATTACCGTGTTTTATTTTCATTATCATTACTTTTGGATCACCTATAAAAAATACATACCTCCTTACAACAGTGCATCCGACTTTAGAGAGCTTAAGACATGGAGATATGTCAAAATTTATATAAATGCAATGTATTTTAGTTTTATTATTATTATTTTCTATTTAAAACTAGTTTTTATCTCACTTTTTACTAAGTAATTGATTAACTATGTTTGGCAACTGCTCGTGAGTTCTTGAAAAGGGCACCGGCAGAATATCAGCGCTTAGGTTATTACTCCGCGGCACAATGCTGAATCGGATGCCTATTTGTGACTGTATTAATGTTATTGTAATATAATATATTCACGTGATGCTATTATTTATAATGTAGTATATAATGTTTGTTGTCTCAGCCAGTATCGGACTCCCCGGAGTCAACATATCAAATAACGTTCAGTTTCGTGGTCACATGGAAGAGAATGCCAAATTGGCCTCTAAAAAGCTTGGCGTGCGCAGCAGAGCGGGACAGTATTTCATGCCGGCATACCGCTTGCAACTTTACAAGGCGCAGGTTCGGCCCCACATGGAATACTGTTCCCATCTCTGGGTAGGGGCTACGCAGTACTAGCTCCTTCTACTTGACCGCATCCAGTGCAGAGCAGCTCGAATCGTCGACGACTGAGTTTTTTCCTATCGGCTCCTATTTTGCATTTTCTATCGTATTTACCACGAGGAGAGCTCTGAGGAATTGTTCGGAAAAATTTTAGCCGCCACATTTCATCAACGCACATCGAGACAAAACTTACGTCACCATTCACATATTACTACTACTACTTTGTGGAATCGTTTATCACCGGCGATTTTTCTGGACGACTTAGGGACCTTCAATAAATAAGCTCCTTTATAAAAGGCCGGCAACGCACCTGCAATTACACTGGTGTTGCAGTAGCGCATGGCCGGCGGTCTACACTTTCCACCAGGTGAGCCGCATGCTCGTTTGCCCCTTCTGCTATTATTAAAAAAAAACTTCAAATAAAGATGTTTCTTTCTTTTTCCTTTACTTTGCATTACAATAACTTTCTACTACATGACCGTGGAATACCGTGAAATCTGGCAAATTTGCCATTTTTGGAAGGACTTAAATGTTTAAGACCAATTTTCCAACAAAAATGTACTGTCAGACTAGGCGTCAATGTTAAATGTGACATTATACTCTTCATAGATTTGGTATTTATTAATGATTTAAACAAATACTAACATTAAATAAACAAAATACTCAAAAATATAAAATGGCAAAGTTAACCTCACTTTGTGGAAACTTTGTTATCAGGGTTTATAATAAAAATAATAGGATTTGACTTCAAGGTTGAAGGTAAGTTTACCTCATAATATAATACACAACACCCGAAGTTATGATATGCTTCTTTAATTGTGTTGGAAATAGCAAAGTTTACGCTTGTGGCAAAGTTGCCCTCCCATTTTTCAATTTTTCATACAAACTTGAAAATATGTGTCAGGATTGTCAAAAATCCTTGATTACTTACTTAAATACTTACTTTTTTTATTTAATTTTATTTAATTTTATTTAAAATTAAAAATAAAATTGGTACAATAATAAGGTAAATAATAAAAACGTTACGTTTTTCGTGTTAATCGTAATTTTGTACCAGTACACCCCTGATGGCAAAGTTAACATCCTTTGGTAAAGTTGCCAGACCTGACTGTAATTGTTTTTCTATAAATCATAATAGCCCATCACAAGTTCATTGCTGGGAGGATATTTGCCATAGTTGCCACGTTTGGCGGGTTGGCAACCGCAGATATTTATAAAGTTGTTATCAGGAAGATGCTGCCGCATATCTTCTGTATAATTTCCCTCTGATGCCTCTTACAACATATGTATTAGTGGATATTCTTAAGCCACTTCCACATGGCACTACTATAATAAATGTAAATTAGCATAAATTGTGCTACAAAATTTAAAAAAGAGAAAATACAAACCAGTTGGTTTTTTCACTTCCCAAAACTGAGAGATAGTTTTATTATTATTTTTACTGTTTTAATAGGATTTCTAGGCGCTAGGCGCACACCGCAATCGTTTTAAAACAGTAAAAAAAGTAAACTTGTTTCTCTCAAATCACATGAAGATAAGAAGATAATATAATAAGCTCGGAAGAGTGCACATGTTATACCCCTTTAGAAGAGATCTAATCGCGTCCACCTCTCTGATTTCCGTCCCATCTCGATCTTACAACATTTCCTTTATAAAGTCCTTGAAAAACTTATATGCTGACCCTTTTCCTTAATAAGCACAATTTGTTGAATTCTTTAAAATCCGGTTTCCATCCTGGTCATAGTACGGCTACTGCCTTAATCAAAGTTGCTGATAACATACAGTGGGGTATGGATTATAAGCAATTCATAGGCATGACCTTGCTGGATTTCAGTAATGTGTTCAATACTGCTAATTTTAATATACTGTTGGGTCAGTTGTATTCGCTTAACGTATTTCGATCAGTAATTTACTAGTGTCAAAGTTATCTCTGTTGCCGTCAGCAGTGTATTCGTGTCGATGAAACTCACTCATGTTGATGTGATATTACTGCAGGCGTGCCGCAGGGCGGCGTGTTGTCACCTTTATTCTTTTGCATTTTCATTAATTCAATCACTCATAGAATATCTTATCTTTACCGCATGTATGCAGATGATGTCCAGATTTACACCCAGTCAACTGTTGAGAATTTGCCGAATGCAATCGCTACATTAAATAACAATTGAAATATTATTTATGAATGGAGTTAATCATATGGCCTAAATTTTAATCTCAAAAAGTCACAGGCTATCATTATTGGATCTCAAGAATTGACTGGTTTTCTCCACCGCTCTCATAATATTACTTATTATAATTTAACCATATATTGCAAAATAACCATGTTCTTATGTACGTGTGATTGTCACTGAACTCCTCCTAAACGGCTGGACTGATATTTATGAAATTTTTGGTGTGTGAATTGACCCCCGGATGGTTTAGATTTCACCCGTGCAAAGCCGGGGCGGATCGCTTTTAATTAATATAATAAAATTTAATTCTTCAATATATGTGAATGGTAGAGTTGTCAAAGAACGTTCCAAATGGAACTTTATCGACCAAATTGGCGATATATTGAAGATGGGTCAAATTAATAGTGCCCTTAACCGATGAGCATGTATGCGTAGGTATATATACGTAAAGGAGGCGAGTGTGGTGTGTCAAGATAGAAACATCGGGCGGATCGCTAGTGATTAATAAAATTAAAAAAAAAACTCGATTTTGTAGAAAAGATATAATTTTTTTCCAATTCTTAAAAGTACCTGTGCACCTTCAGATCTTAGTCGCACGTATGCGTGCGTCCCCGGATATTGATATGGAGCGTGACTGGAAGATGGTGACGGTATTCATCGGTGCCAACGACCTGTGCTCAGCTTCCTGCCTGTCGCCGGTCTCTTGGTCACCGGCTGCACACGCCAGAAAGCTCGCACGCGCCCTCGACTACTTCTACGAGCACCTGCCCAGGACCATCATCAACCTTATTCCCGTGCTAGGTAAGATAGATGAATTTACAATGTAATGCACTTAATACATACACACACTCTCCCTAAAATTAAATTATATTATATATATATATATATATATATATATATATATATATATATATATAATTGACTCATATTTATCATCATTACATCCCTTCACAAGTCCACTGCTGAACATAGACCTCCCCTATGAACAGGAATACCAGAATCTACATCCGTCAACTTGCTGCATATCTTACCAGGTTATTACTCCATCGAGAGAGAGTGGGAGGGGGGGCTAAACTTCGCGTACCAGTACGAAGTTGCCACTCGAGAACCTTTCTTTGCCATCGGTTATCGGGGGTTGCCTCATAGTTATATGCTGTCATTATTTATATATATATAACATGATGGTGACAAATAAAATTTCATCTACATTATGGGTCGTGGCCATCGTATTCCATAGCCATCTGCGGATAACTTCAAACAAAAATGCTTCAGCCTGTTTCCATCTCTGAGGTATAAGATGGAGTGCCACACAGTTTGCAATAAATTACTAATTGTTGTACCGCTGGTCTTTTGGTCGTAAACGCGACTGTTAATCATGAAGACCCAGGTTCTCTCCGGTCGCGTTGGACTGCCATCCCATCGGTAGACGACAGACGGTGGAATAAATGTACCTTCCATTTCCATACCGATATAGTATATAAAATATCCAGACCGGCGCCTGGGATCAGTGTCAAAGTCGCGAGATGTTTGTTAATGTGATCATCAATACCAGGTTTATAGGTGTTAGCGTGGCGGTTGTCCCTCCACCATCAATTCGTGTTACAACCGTAATATAGCTGCAGCGTGGTTATCGGCTCTATCATTTTGATTCTTAATCGATGATAGGTGTAGAAATCTATGATCATCGTATCCACTCATCTGTGTAATCTACACTAGATTGCAGATTACACATATGATAATCTAGATTGTCTGCTCATTTGTCTCCAATATTCTATAAAAAAATGTATGAATGTATGAAGCTCGTGGTTCCGCAGATGTGTCGGTGTCGGTGCGCGTGGTGCGGCCACTGATGTGCCGGCTGATGCACTCGCTGTTCTGCACGTGCTTCCACCGCGGCGGCAACGAGCTGCGCGACCTCGTGCGCATGGCGCGCCTCTACCAGAAGGCCGAGCTCGCGCTGGTCAGTACCACATTGTTTATCTAAAATTGAAGTGATAAACCAACTTACTACCACCTGACTGTAAGTGGCAGTTTAAAGAAAGAAGACTTTTTTTAAACTGCCACTATTTAATTAGTTATTTGACACCCTAGTACCAGTACAACTTTTTAAAAGTTTTCCGGACAGACAGTTCTATGGATATTGTATGGGAATATGGTGTAATGATTTACTCTTGTAGTCAAATGATCGTTAAATTTTTATATTATATATTATATAAAAATTAGACGAGATAGCTGGTACCCGGCGCGTTGCAACCGCAGAAGAAATAGCTGTGTAAATATCGTTTTAAATTTGGAAGGATGATATTGTTTAATTGGGAATGATAATACATCACTGACCTTTCAGTGTAATAAATTCATTGAAGTTTATTTATTTATTTATTTAGGTACAGAATAACATCAAAACATAAACAATTGAACATAATAAATGCAAAATAACAATCTGGATGGTATTCCAAAACATGTGCACACAACATGATATTAGGTTACAGTAACGAGTTTACAGCGCAAATACTTATAATCTTACTTATAAACTTAAGTTGTGGAAAATTTAGAAAAATTAATTCTTTATTAAAAATATTGCCTTATTTACAAAGTATATCTAATACAGATTTTTGAAGTTGAATGATATACTATATAACTTTCAAATAAAGTCGGTACGATACGCGCGCCACCTACTGTAAGTGAATACTACTGTAACTTCGCGGAAGTGCATGCAATATGTTGACAGGCTTGACAGGGTTTTACCGCAATCTGATGAACGGTATGGCAGCGCATAAAATACAAACAGGGCGCACGATAATATTTTATTGCAGAACCTATTAAATTTTTTTGATTTGTTAAAATATATGCAACATCCATTATTAAAAATTACAATTAACTATTATTTAATGCTAGTACTCGTAGTATCATTAAATAATAAAGTTGATTACCATAGCAACGGTTACCATTAAAACAGTTACCATTTTACCAGAAACATTTTTTTTTGACTGTCGTAAAATCCGTTCTTAATGAGCGTCTACATTGCGAAATGAGTAACTATAGTAAATTTCAAGTCAATTGGGTGTATAGTTTTAGAGATATTGTGATGAGTCAGTCAGTCAGTCATTGGTATTTCGCTTACTTATATTTTTTACATATATATATATAGAGAGAGAAATATATGTATACGTGGAGAAAGTCATCATATATGCATATTAAATGTCGACTTCGTCGTACCAGGTGAAATTAGGCGTCTTGAGAATCTTTCCTCTCCATCGGTTGTCGTTTCTTCGAGCTATATGGCCGGCCCGTTGCCACATTTGACAAACTCACAACATTGAAAAACAGAAAATCATACAAATTAAAAATAATTAATCGTTGTATGTGTAATCCTATAATGTGCCGTGTAATGGCGGTTAAGAATATCCACTACCCCATACCTTCCCGTGGGTGTCGTAAAAGGCGACAAAGGGAAACAGGCAGGAGATGGGCAGCAGCATCTTCCTGGTAACGGCAAAAATACAATAAAAAACTGCGGTTGCCAACCCGGTCGCCAAGCGTGGCTACTATGGCAATATACCCCCCATGATGAAAGTTACGAAGAGACGGCCCCCAGTCCCCGGCGGCCCCGCTATTCCTGGCTACGGTGGCGACCATGGTAACGGCGGGGCAGGGGGTGCTAAGAATCTCCGGTGGAGGTTCGGTTGCCACCTACGACGACTCGACCTGGCAACATACAATGCACGCACCCTGAGGACTGACGAGAAGATTGTGGAGCTGGAAGAAGAGATAGACAAGTTACGCTGGTATATTATAGGATTATCCGAAGTCCGAAGAGAGGGGGAGGACACGGTAATCCTCGAATCCAGCAACTTGCTCTATTACCGGGAGGGCGACCATCTGTCCCAAGGAGGTGTCGGATTTATCGTCTACAAGTCTCTCGTTAACAACGTTGTAAAGATTGAGAGTGTGTCGACGAGGGTTGCGTACCTTATACTCAGAATCACCAAACGGTATTCGCTGAAGGTCATACAGGTTTACGCAGGTCGGCACACCCCGATCAGGAGGTGGAGGAAATGTATGAGGATATCTCTAGAGCCATGCATTCCTCCAAAATCCAATATACGGTGTTAATGGGAGACTTCAATGCAAAACTAGGCACAAGAGAGAACGGTGAGCTGAAAGTGGGGAAATTTGGAATAGGGCAACGGAACCAAAAGGGCCAGCAGCTGGCCGACTTCATGGAGAAAGAAGGACTCTTTATGATGAACTCTTTCTTCCAGAAGCGGCCCCACAGGAAGTGGACCTAGTCGAGCCCCGACGGTTCGACAAAAAATGAGATTGACTTCATTATAAAGACCAGACGACAACTGTTCAGTGATGTCTCAGTGATCGCGAGGGTGAAAACCGGCAGCGATCACCGAATGGTTATAGGCGCACTGAACCTAAACGTTAAGTTGGAGAGGTCTCGTCTAATAAAGTCAACGCTCCGTCCCCCTCGTGCTCTAATCCAGGGTCCCGAAACCTTTCAGCTCGAGTTACAAAACCGTTTTCAGTGCCTAGAAGACTGCAATGAAGTGGACGATTTGAATGACAAGCTCGTGGAAACTGTCCATGCGATCGGAGCTAAGTTCTGCAAGACCCGCCGCAGAAGAACACAAAAACTCTCCGATCACACTCTTAATCTCATGGCTGTTAGACGGGAGATGAAGCTACATTCTTCAACAGATTTGACAGCATACAGGCAACTGAACAGAAAGATCTCCAAATGCATGCGGCGGGACTTCCGCAACATCAATACAATTTGTATTGAAGAAGCGATCGAGCGGAAACAAGGCTCAAAAGTCTTTGCCAGAGATCTGTCTGCCAGAAAAAGCCAACTGTCAAAGCTGAAGACCGAATGTGGCAGCATCGTTTCCGGGGCACCTGAGATTTTGAGTGAGATTGAGAGGTTCTATGGGCAGCTGTACACGTCATCGTTGGAGCCGCACGCAAGTGTGAGTAACGATCCAAGAGCGAGTCTTATCCGACACTATTCTGAAGATATCCTGGACATTAGTCTGAGCGAGATTAGAATGGCTCTCCAGCATCTTAAAAACGGCAAGTCCCCGGGCGAGGATGGAATTACAGCAGAGCTTTTGAAAGCGGGTGGAAAACCGATACTTGAAGTCCTTCAGAAGCTCTTTAATTCCGTCCTCCATGGTGGCAGTACTCCGGAGGCGTGCAGCAGAAGTGCGGTGGTCTTCGAAAGGTGGTCGCTCGAAAGGCGACAACGCTCTCTTGAAGAACTACAGACCGATTTCCCTTCTGAGCCGCGTCTACGTGCTGTTTTCGAGAGTCATTACGAATCGTATCGCGCACAGACTTGACGACTTCCAGCCTCCCGAACAAGCCGGTTTCCGAAAAGGCTTTAGCACCATAGACCACATACATACCCTTCGGCAAATTGTACAGAAGTCCGAGGAGTACAATTTGCCACTATGTCTGGCGTATGTGGACTATGAGAAAGCCTTTGATTTCGTCGAAATTTGGGCGGTGCTGCAGTCCCTTCAGCGATGCCAAGTTGACTGTCGGTATATCGAAGTGTTGAAGTGCTTGTACAGTAGGGCTATCCGAGTACAGAACCAGAGTACGAAACCTATCCAATTGCAGAGAGGTGTAAGACAGGGTGACGTCATATCCCCGAAACTCTTTATCGCTGCATTGGAAGATGTTTTCAAGCTTCTGGACTGGAAAGGATACGGTATCAACATCAATGGCGAGTACATCACTCACCTTCGATTTGCCGACGATATAGTCCTTATGGCAGAATCGTTGGAGGACCTAAGCACTATGCTCAATGACCTCAATAGTGTTTCCCAACGGATAGGTCTTAAGATGAACATGGACAAAACAAAGATCATGTTTAATGTCCATGTCACACCTATGCCGGTAGTTGTTGGGAACACTAAGCTCGAAGTTGTTGACGAGTATGTTTACCTGGGACAAATAGTCCGACTAGGTAAGTCCAACTTCGACCGAGAGGTCAATCGACGGATTCAACTCTGTTGGGCAGCGTTCGGGAAATTACGGCACATCTTCTCGTCAGGTATACCTCAAAACTTGAAAACGAGACTGTACACCCAGTGCGTGTTGCCAGTGATAACATACGGAACTGAGACGTGGTCCTTCACTGCTGGCCGGATGAGGAAGCTCAAGGTCGCTCAGCGAGCTATGGAGAGGGCTATGTTCGGAGTTTCTCTGCGTGATAAACTCAGAAATGAGGATATCCGCAGTAGAACCAGAGTGACCGACATAGCCCAACGGATTAGTAAGCTGAAGTGGCAATGGGCCGGCCATATAGCTCGAAGAACCGACAACCGATGGGGAAGAAAGGTTCTCGAGTGGCAGCCTCGTACCGGCAGGCGAAGTGTAGGGCGTCCCCCCACTAGATGGAGTGACGACCTGGTAAGATATGCAGGAAGTCGATGGATGCAGGTGGCTCAGGACCGTGCTTTGTGGCATTCTTTGGGGGAGGCCTATGTTCAGCAGTGGACTTGTGAAGGGCTGTAATGATGATGATGAATCGTTGTATGATTTTATTAAAGATCCTGTCTCAGTGGTTATCGTTTTATGGTACCAATGTAAACATATATCTTGAGCAAAGATGTGGCTTCATGAATGGTTCGACTCGATCGGGGAAGGACTATGCTTTCACACCGTTTATCTGTATATTGTAGCTGGAAAACACTCTTTATTGGTGACACAGCAGTCTACTTTAGTCTTTTGGTGTGACTATGGAGCTCTTATGTCATATAAAAAAATATAATATGTTAAAAAAACATTCGAATTAATAACCTCCTGCTTTTTATAATTGGATAAAAAATGTTAATAGTTTTTTTTAAGACAAAACGTTACTCTCCGATTTTCTTCAAAAATGATTAAAGTCTAGATTTTAATAAATATGATCATGAACTTATCGAAATATCTAAGCCTTGAGAT